CTGATGGAGAACCAGCTGGACAGTTTCTCCTCAATAAAACTGTCTTCCTTGGCAGTGGGTGGGTTCTGTCCTTCAGCAACCTTACACTTAAGCAGCCCAGTTTATCAATAAGTTGTTGCTGTTGTTATGTGCCATCGAGTCGCTTGCAAATCATAGCGAACCTATGTACAAAGAGCCCTAAACTCTGCTCTGTCCTGTGCCAATTGCACTGTCTCCGATACATCCATCCCAATTACCCCAGTCACTGAATCAATCTACCTCATAGGGGCCTTCCTCTCCTGCACTGTCCCTCCACCCTCCAAAGATTGGTCCCTCCTTACCACATGTCCAAAGTATGTCAGATGAAGCCTCAGAATCCTTGCCTCTGAGGAGCCACCTGGTTTAACCCTCTCCAGGTTGAACCTTTTTGTTTTCCTAGCAGTCCATGATACTCTCAGTACTCTTCTTCAGCACCACAGCTCAAAGGCATCAATTCTCCTTCTATTCTCCCTAGTTGTTGTCCAACCCTCTGACACATAACAAGTGACTGCAAAGACCATAGCCTGTATCAGATGCACCTTAGTCTCCAGAGAGAAACAATGGCTCTTCAGTACTTTGGAAAGGTCCCTAATAGCAGACTTTCCCATGGCAATATGTCTTTTAATTTCCTGGCCGCTGGTGACAAGAGTGTTGACTGTGAAGCCAAGCAAACTAAAGCTGTGAACAATCTCAATCTCTTCACCATCCATCCTGATGCTGCCAGTTGGTCCAGTGGTGAGAATCTTTGTCTTCTTGACATTGAGTCTCAATACGTATTGGAGGCTGCAGCAATCGCTTTAGGTTCTCCTCAGTTTCAGCAAGCAGGATTGTGTCATCTGTATAATGCAGATTGTTACTAGAACTTCCACCAATCCTTACACCGCATTTCTCCTCATAGAGCCCAACCTCCTGGATAATCTGTTCTGCATAGAGTTTGAAAAGGTATGGAGACAGGACACATCCCTGGCATATGCCCTTCCCAATTTTGAACCATGCAGTGTTTCCTTGCTGTTCTAACGATCAATAAGCACATTAAATTTAACATCTGAATTAAAAAATCAGAGTTTAGCAGCTTAGATTAAAAAGTAATTATAAACAGTCTACAAGAGAAACACTTCAGACTCAGAGATACAATTAAGTAAAAAGCAAAAGGATGCAAAAACATAACATGAACAGTAACCAAAAGAGGGACCAAACTAATATTAAAGAAGACTTTAAAATAAAAGAACATAAAAGCCTCAAATATTTACTTCAGAATTTTAAAAAATTACTTTCAAAGCATTTTTCTTCATCATCCATACATTTGTTTCCAGAAATTTCAAGAATGAATGAACTTTCATTGTCTCTTAATAATAATAATTTTAAAAAGCCATTACCTTCTATTAAATTAAGATTCTTTACATATTTCTATCTCCGGTTCCATTTTGTAGGATAGAATTCTACTTTTAACATTTTTCCAAGAGCAACATTAAAGCCCTATCTAGTTAGGTATGTATAGGGTTTTGTTTATCTTTGATTCTCTGGCATTTAACAGTTAAGATTCCAGTCCTTGGGAAATGACATCATGCTGAGAGAAGTGGAAGGTCAGAGAAGAAGAGAAGATTCTCAACGCAATATATTGAAACAGTGACTCTAACAGTGGGCTCGAGCATGTCTTGGATCATGAGGATCATGTAGGCAAGGGTTAGAGCTGTTGCTCATAGAATTGCTGTGAGTCATAGAGCTCTGTTGGCCTAGTGGATAGAAAGTGATGCTACCAAGGCAAAGCTGGGTGATTTTACTCCACGACCCTCAGGTCGGGTTTTAATTGTTTTTGGTCAAACGTTCTTCTAAGTCATATAGCACTGGTCTGTCAATTTGCTGTACAGAGGTAACGCATGGTTGCTGTGATGCTAAACACCGTGATACTGATGTGTCAAATGCGATAATGGTTACCCATGGTGGACAGTGTTTGGTGGAGCTCCTAGATTAAAACAGGCTTGGAAGCACAGTGGTATCCACTTCTGAAATAGCTTGCCTCCGGAAACTCTATGAACTTAGAGAAACAATTTAAGTTATACAAGTGTTCAGGTCTTTCATTCATAGGGTTGTTATGAGTCATTTATGACTCAATGGCACATAACAACAATCGTTAAGTAAGGGTGTGTGCATGCTTATAGAGTAAAACTTCATTGAATAAAAGACATAGTTTTTGTCATATTTCTTAAATAATTTCTGAAAAGATAATAAAATTATTTGTCTCTCATTTAGATCTATTAGATATTTCATAGAAGTGAAATTATGTCCTCTGAAATGGACTTTAAACTCTATTGTAAATATATTAGTCCAGAGAGTTAATAAATAAAAGAAATTAAGAAATATTAAAAATAAAATTTAAAAACTAAAAAGAACAATTCTGGCCTTAGTAAAAGGGTTTTATTAACTGAAATGTACATTGTACTTTGTATATTTTAAAGGGCTTTTTCTATCCATTACATTATTTGAGCCTTTCAAACATTCCCATGAGAGAGTACAACATCTCATTATACATTTTATCCTCATTTTACACAGTAAGAGACAGAGGATCGGGAAAGATCAAACAAATCATAGTGTGAGTCAAGTTTCTCTGATTTGAAGTCCACTGACCTTCCACAATTCCTGAATGCCATTAGAGACATTACTGTGGGCCAATGAGTTGACTGCAACTCCTAGCAACCCCATAGGAGAGGGTAGAACTGCTCCATAAGGTTTCCGAGGCCATAATCTTTGAAGGAGCAGATTGCTAAGTCTTTTCCCATAAAGCTGTTGGTGGGTTCAAACTGCTAACCTTCTGGTTAGTAGTCAAATGCTTAAACATGCACCACCAGGACTCCTCAGAGACACTACTGCAAGCTATTTTATTGTATACTGTATGTTATTATGGTTTTCATTCATCTTATATAAGCAATCATAACAGAATTTCAGTTAAAGAAGATCAGGTAACTCAGCTAGACTGGTAAAAGGATTTTTAGAAATACACAGTATGCAAAGATGTTTGACTGTGTGGACCACAACAAACTGTGGCTGACTCTGAGAAGAATGGGAATCCCAGAACACTTGATCATGCTAACACAAAACCTATACTTGGGTCAGGAGGTAGTCATCAGAACAGAGCAAAGGAACACTGCATGGTTCAAAATTGGGAAGGCTGTATTGCAGGGATGTGTCCTATCTCCATACCATTTCAATCTTTATGCAGAACAGATTATCCAGGGGGCTGGGCTCTATGAGGAGAAATGAGTCATCAAGATTAGAGGAAGACTCATCAACAATCTGAGTTATGCAGATGACACAACCCTGCTTGCTGAAACTGAGGAGGACCTGAAGCGCCTACTGCAGAAGGTCAAGGACTGCAGCCTTCAATATGGATTAAAGCTCAATATCAAGAAAAAAAATTCTGGCCACTGGGCCAATTGGCAGTATCGTGATACATGGTGAAAAGATTGAGATTGCTGACAGCTTTAGTTCGCTTGGCTCCACAATGAACACTCTTGCAACAGCAGCCAGGACGTTAAGAGACTTACTGCGTTAGGAAAGTCTTCTGTCAGAGACCTCTCCAAAGTACTGAAGAGCAATGAGGTCAGTCTGGAGACTAAGATGTGCCTGATACAGGACATGGTCTTTGCAATCACTTGCTATGCATCAGAGAGCTGGACAATGACTAGGGATGATAGGAGAATTGATACCTTTGAGCTGTGATGTTGGAGAAGAGTGTTGAATTTACCATGGACTGCTAGGAAAACAAACAGGTTCATCCTGGAGAGGATGAAATCAGGCTGCTCCCTGGAGGCAAGGATTCTGAAGCTTTATCTGACATACTTTGGACATGTTGCAAGGAGGGACCAGTCCTTAGAGAAGGACATCATACTTGGGAGGTTGGAGGGACAGTGCAGGAAAGGAAGACCCTTGATGAGATAGATGGATTGATTCAGTGACTGGGGTAATGGAGGTAGGTTTGTCAGAGACAATAAGATTGGCAGAGGATAGAGCAGGGTTTAAGGCTGTTGTAGATAAGGTAGCTATGAGTCGCAGGCAACTCGATGGCACATAGCAACAACAGTATCAAAATGCAAATTCAATGCCACTGAGTCAGAATCAACTCATAAATGACCCTCCACAGGGTTTTTGGAGACTGTAAATCACAGGGGAGAAAACTGTCCATCTTTTCCCTACAGAGCTGCCAGTGAATTCAACCACCAAAGAGATGTGACCTTTGGGTTAACAACCCAACTCCTTATGGGCTAGGCCATCAGAGGTGATATAAAGTAATCTGGGAGTAAAACTGATTTGTTCAGCTGCTTGTACAAACTTCTGAAAATTAGTTCAAATCCAAAAGAGATTCTTTTTTTCAAGAAAACAATAGTTTGAAATACAATGTATATGAATTTTGTAAGCAAAGTAATATAAACATTTTAAAAAAGAAGAGTAAGGGTAGAGGAATGACTAATTAGGAGAAGGCTTTTTGTTTTTGCTTTTAGCCTTTCTTCCGGTGTTAAGTGTTTAACTTGAAAAATATAGACAACATTTGTGTCAGGCAATGTTAAGTCAAAAGTACTTCCAAAAAAAAAGTACTTCTTGCTCAAGTAATTTACAGTATAGTCAAAGTGGTGGACTCTGTAATACTTTTGAAACAAAAAAGAGGTTGTACATCAATAAATTACATGCTTTTAAAAACACATGGTCTTCTATCAGTTGAATAACTTTAGCAGGTTAACTTATCTTTTTCAGCTGGACTAGGCAAAGAAAGGATTTTTTCAAAAGGAGAGAGGGGAAAAATAATCCTTAGAGCTTACCAAATAAACCACTGTAATGTTTAAGAAATTCTGTCACCAGCAAGTTGTCAACACAAATTAGTTCTATATTACTATTTTAAAAGAGTACCAAGAAATTGCTCAATTTAAGTAGATTGCTGGTTATTTTTATTCACATTATTTACCTGTAAAAGTTTTTAAAAATTAACTTACCATTCTTTAACAGTTACTTCTCTAATCCCTTCTCCAATGTCTGACAGTTTGAATTGAACAATCTGTCCATGAAGAGCTTCAAAAGCAAATGAGAAATGATTTTGTTAAAGGACAATGGACTGCTGAAATACTTTCACATAAAAACTAGCAAATACATCTTATAAAAAGAAAAAGAGCTTAATTCTTAAACAGATAACCAGCATTCATTACCATAAAAAATTTAAATATGTCAAAACAACAATGAGATACTACTTCATTCCAGCAGCAATAGCTGGAAATTCAACAAAACAGCCAACAGCAAGTGTTGGAGAGAATGTGGAAAGAATGAAATTCTTGTACACTGGTGGGATTGTAAAATGATAAAACCACTATGGAAGGCAGTTTGGCATTTCCTAAAAAAAACTGAGCCCAGAAATCCCATATGACCCAGCTATCCCTAAGAAATCAGAACTGAGATATGAATAGACATTTGTATACCGATTTTCAAAGCAGCATTATTCACAATAGGAAGGAAATGGAAGCAGCCCAAATGCTCATCAATAAATGAATGGATTGAGCAATTACTGTACAGCTACGCAATGGAATACTATGCAGCACTAAGAAGCAACAATTTCATAAAATACGATATAACAAAAAAAACTACGATATAACTTGGGAGAAACTAGAGAGCATTATTTTATTTTATTATTTTGTGTGCATGTACCGTCAAATCGGATCGGACTCATACAGGAGAAGATTGTCCCTCCTTTTCTAGCAAAGCATCTGGTGGATTTGAACTGTAGAAAGCATTTTTCTGAGTGAAAGTATCTCAAGCCATTTAAGGACAAATATTACATAAGGGCACTATTATGAAAATACGAAGGTAACTAAGGATGTGTGTATAAATGTTCATAAGGGACAGGAGAGAAGGGGGTTAGAAAAAATTAAAAGGGAAGGGGAAAAAAATCACTGGGATAGCAAAGATTAGTGGGTATGTGGGGGTGAAGTAATGGGAAACTTTCAATGGAGGTTTGGAAAGATAACAGACTTAGAGCAATGAGAATTAATTACATAAAATGTAATGCTTATGAATGACTGTATAAAGCACAAGGCATATGCATAAAACATGATGTATATGAACTATATTAAAACCAATACAAAATTTGAAAAAAAAATTTGAGGGTGCAAGTTCTTGGAAAAAGATATTATGATGGGAAAAGGTACAGGGTCAGAGAAAGAAGATTCTCAAAAGATGGACTGACACAGTGACTCATTCCAACAATGGGCTGGAGCATGTCAGGGAGGGTGAAGATGATGTAGGTTAGAGTAAGGTTCAGGTCTTCTATTCATAGGGTGGCTATGAGTCATAGGCAACTCAATGGTGCCCAGCAACAACACTAAAAAATGGAAAATAAAAGTTGTTCAGAGGAGACTTTAAAAGAAATAAAAAGAGATCAGAAATAACAGACAGCTGCCTAAGCACATCACCTACCCTAATTTAATCCTTTCAAGTCAGGACCATTGCTAATTGCACATTGATAAAAGTGAGAATCTAGAATAGTGTCTTTCATATACTAGCAAATTATCAATAAAAATCTATTATTCAGTGACCTCTCACAGAAATCTAGTGAGGAAAACATTATGATTTTCCCAGGTGATGAAATAGAAATAAAGTTACTTGTCAAAGCTCCATTTAGTAATTCTGTGAACAAGAGGTCTGAACCCTGTCCTATCTTGTGCCAAACTCACACTGTGACACACTCAAGCCCACCTACTGCAGTCACTGTGTCAATCCACCTGGTGGAGGGTCTTCTTTTTTGCAACCCTCCACCTTTCCAAGCATGATGTTCCTCTCCAAGGAATAGCCTTTCCTAGCAACATGACCAAAGTATGTGAGATGAGGCTTTATCATTTTTGCCTCCAAGGAGCACTGTGGTTGCACTTTCTCCAAGACATTTATGTTTGTTCTTTTGACAGTTCACGAGATATTCAATACTCTTGTGCAACACCACAACTCAAAGGCATTAGTTCTTCTGTCATTCATATTCATTGTCCAGCTATCAGAGGCATAGAAAGTGACTGGAAAGCCCATGACTTAAATCAGGTGCACCTTAGTCTTCAAACTGACTTTACTGTTCCTCAGTAATTTGGAGAGCTACATGAGAGAGACTTGCCCAATGCAATATGTCTCCAGATCTTGACTGCTGCACCAAGTATACTGATTGTGGATCTAAGTAAAACAAAATCACTGACAACTTCAATCTTTTCTCCATCTATTATGATGTTGCTTATCAGTCCAGTGATGAAGATTTTAGTCTTAATGATATTCAGATGCAATCCATAGTGCACCTATATTGAGTCAAGGATACTAAATGGTTTAAAATCAGAAAAGGTGTGTGTACTATGAGTGGGCGCTGCTGGCAGGAAGCATGATTTGGATTTTTAACGGTTGCCATGAGTTGAAATCAAAAGCTAAAAAAAAAAAATAGGGCAGGGAGCAGGAAATGAGTGTATGGGAGGATTATACTCTTTCACCATATTTATTCAATCTGTTGAGCAAATAATCCAAGAAACTTGACTATATGAAGAAGAATGTGGCCCCAGGATTGGAGAAAGACTCATTAACAAACGTGGAGGGAAGATGAAACCACCTTGATTGCTGAAAACAGTGGACACTTGAATTTAGTACTTAAGTGAAAAATTAAAGATGGATAATAATAGCTCAACATAAATTCTCAAAACAAAACAAAAGTCCTTACAACTAGACCAGTAAACATCATCACATGATATGCAAAGACAAGACTGAGGTTGCTGCAGTGATGAAATGAAACAAAGTATTGCACTGGGCAAATCTGCTGCCAAGAAGCTGTTTAAAGTTCTAATAAAAAGTAAGGATGTTACTTTTAGGACTTGACCCAGACTATGGAATTTTCAATCACTTTATACACCTGTGAAAGCCATTGAGTAAGACTGAAGAATCAATGCTTTTGAATTGTGGTATTGGTCAGTCCCTGGTGAAAATATCAAGCTTGGTAAAGCAGAGAGTCAATGAAAGGAGGAAGATCCTTAACTAGCCTGGCACAGTAGCTACAACAAAGGTCTTTAGCATAGTAGACTTTGTGAGGATGGTACAGGATCAGACAGGATTTCACAAGGTTGTATGAAGCCAATTCAATGTCACCTAACAGTTAGCATAACAATGAGCATGAGCACTATGAGAGATTCTGAGGATGCTTCAAACAGAGCTGTGGTCCACCAGATGGAACCTAATAACAACTTCTATACCTATCCACGTTCCTCTACTGTTCATAGTGTTCTCAGAGGCTTGTTATTTAAGAAAACCAGATGAGTTATGGGATGATATCAACCATGAAGAAAGTAAAAGGTCATTACAAAGAGGAGAAAGAAATAATGAAATTGATGTGAGAAGAGACTTTAAAAATTGCACTAGACTGTCAAGAAGCCAAAAAAAAAGGGTGTGTGTGTGGGGAGAATATGCTGAAGTAAAAGAGTTGAATAGAAGATTTCAAAGAGTTGCTCGAGAAGACAAAACAAAGTATTGCAACAGGATATGCAGAGAGATGAAATTGGAGAAAAAGGGAAAAACTCACTGCATTTCTCAAACTTAAAGAACTTAAGATATTTAAGCCTTAAGTCACAATATTGACTGATGCTATGGTCAATATCCTGAATGACCCAGAAAGCATCAAAAGATGGAGGGAATACACAGAATCAACGTACCCAAAAGAACTGACACTGAAAAATTTCAGGAAGTACCATATAAGCAGGAGCCAATGGTAATGAAGGAGGAAGTGAAAGCTACATTGAAGGCATTGGCAAAAAATAAGGCCACAGGAATCAATGAAATAACTAACTGACTTGTTTCAATTAACAGATGCAGCCTTGGATGCACTCACCAGTCTATGTCAGGAAATTTGGAGGACAGCTGTCTGGCCAACAGTTTGAAAGAGGTCCATATTTGTTCCCATTTCTAAGAAAGGTGACCCAACTGGATGTGGAAACTGTCAGAAAATATCATTAATAGCACATGCACGCAAAATACTGCTGAAGATCATTCAAAAACAGCTACAATAGTACATAGATAGGGAACTTCCTGAAGGTCAAGCAGAATTTAGAATAGGCTGTGGCACCAGTGATATCATTCCTGATGTCAGATGGATCCTGGCTGTAAAGAACACTACAAAAATGTCTATTTATGCTTTATTGTCTACGCAAAGGTATGTGACTGTGTAGATCATAACAAGTCACAGCTAACATTGAGAAGAATGGGAGTCCCATAGGACTTAATTGTGCTCATGGGAAACCTAGACCTAGACCTGGAGGCTGTTGGGCAAACAGAGGAAGGGCAAACTAACTACATGATTTAAAATTAAGAAGGGAGCGTATCAACATTGTATTCTCTCTATATGCCTAATCCATCTGTATGCTCAGCAATTATTTGAGAAACTGGACTCTATGAAAAGGAACATCAGGATTGGAAGGAGACTCATCATTAGCCAGCATTTTGCAGATGATACAACCTTCCTTGCTGAAAGGGAGGAGGACTTGAAGCACTTGTTATACAGAAGATCAAGCCTTCAATATGGATTGCATCTTAATGTCAAGACAACAAAGATTCTTACCAGTGGGCTGATAGTCAACATCATGATAGATGGAGAAAAGATTGAAACTTTCAACAACTTCTTGCTTGGATACACAGTTAACACCCTTGGTACTAACAGGTAGGAAATCAGGGGATGCAACGCACTAGGAAAGTCTGCAGTTAGGGACCTCTCTAAATTATTAAGGAGTAATGATGTCATATTGAGGACGATTCCTCAATATGAATCATATGTGCATATGATTCAGGCCGTGGTCTTTTCTGATCATTTGCTATGCATCTGAGAGCTGGACAATGAATAAGGGTGAAAGAATAATTTATGCCTTTGAGCTGTGGTGTTGGAAAAGAGCACTGAATATCCCATGAACTGTTAAAAGAACAAACAAATATGTCTTGGTAAAGGTGCAGCTAGAGTGCTCTCTGGAAGCAAGGATGATGAGGCTTCACCTCACATACTTCAGGTATGTTACGAGGAGGAACTATTCCTTGGAAAAGGAACATCATGCTCAGAGAGGTGGAATGTTCACGAAGGAGAGGAAGACCCTCAACCAGGTGGACTGATATGGTGCCTGCTGCAACAGACTCTAGTGTGTCAGGAAGTGTGAGAATGGCACAGGATAGGACAGGGTTTATGTTTTGTCCACAGGGTCGCTAAGGATTGTACTCAACTCGAAGGCATTTAACAAGAACAATAGTAAATAGCTGGGAAGAGGTAGCTAAATTGTAATAGCCATGGCCTATTCAGAAGCACTCCACATAGATTTCCTCACACTATCTTATTATGACAGATAAAATGACTCATCTAAAAAAACAATAGTGTTTAAACAGGATAGCTTTTATTAAGTCAGCAAACAATACCACTTACTGAGAAATCTATCTCAGTGCTGACTATTGCACTTAGATGAATCAGAAGAGATAGACAACTTGTCCTCAATATTATGAAACATCTGTATTATCAATAGAAAGTGTATTAGAAAAGGGAGAGCAAAAAAAGAAAATGAAGAACGAGAAACGGATAGATATAGAGGGGAGGGTCAGGTTATGCTTAAAGAAAAGGCCAGGGTTTTCTCTAGAACACTTCAATCAATAACTAAAAAGAAAGTACTTCTAAGCTACAAAACATTATTTCAAATGTACTATTTTAAGATTATGCTTACCAGCAGTTGTTTTCAGCAATCGATGTGGATGATTATATTTGAAGGAAGGATAAGTGAAGAAACACATGTGTTTTGGCTTCAAGTCATGTACATTAATACACGTTTGAAAATAGCGAACACAAATCTATAGACAAAAAAATAAAGAGTAAATAATTATACAAATTATCTTTGTTTAGGTTAGCAGAGCAATATGTTATGGACTATGAAATGAGAGAAATCTAATTAGCTTTTTAAAAAAAAATTTTCCTTCATTGTTGCACATTTTCTCCCTTTTTCTCCTCTTCAGTTCATTCTGCAATGCACCTCTTGTTC